TTTCTCAGCAAAAGAAGCACTTTCAACTGTACTTGCTGAGGGCAAGGGCTGTTGTCTTACTTCAAAGACGTGAGGCAGCAAAATGAATTTTTTTCACTCAAAGCAATATTTAGTGTTGAGTAAGGATAAATTAGCTTCTCATCCTCTTCCTCTTCTTCCCCCTCTTTCTCCTCCTTCCTCACCCCTTCTCTCTTCTTTCTCCCTTCTTGTTCTTTCCCAAGACATATTCTCACTGTGTATCCCTGGATGGCCTGTAACTCATTATGTAGACCAGGCTGACCTCAAATTCATGGAGATCCATCTGCCTCTGCCTCCTAAGTGCTGAGATAAAAGCAGTGTGCCACCATGTCTGGTTATTAGCTTTTTATGTACAGAGGACGGTCTGAGTCAGGGATTATCTCAGACCATCAAGAAAATAAACTAAACAAAGAATTAGCGTTTTAAGGCATAGTACAAAAATAATCCAAACTGTATTCTAGTAAAATTCATTTAGAGTTGCAAAAGTAAAAAGATAATTTTAAACCCATAGTTTTTACTGTAGTTGTGCCATTAGGGTTCTCCGCTGATACTTGCCTAAGGGTTTTCTAGGTTGCAAAGGTCAAATATAGACTTACTCTCCCCGTAGGTATCTGGACAGATTTGTCCTGCTTTGGACACTATTCAAAGATAATCCTTTTTAGTTTCCTTTATGATGGTTCCAGAGTTGTATGTTCAAATACATATTACTCTACTTTCAAAATGGAGGGTGACAGGATGCTTGGTTGTCCTCTGAAGAGACACAAAAGATTCAGTAAATCCTCTCTGACTGTGGGAGGAGTAGTCCATTGCATCTCTTTGACCTTGTGAACTTTCCTAGCAAGCACATTTTTTCATAAGATTTGGTGCTGAATTCTGCCAAGCACAAGCATTTAAGGCACTCCATCCGTGGCTCTTCTGCTTCTCTTATCTAATGCTTTGCTGTCATCTCCATGATGAGTGTGACGTCTTCTCAAATTCAGGATCTCTGTGGAGTGAAGGATGCATGGAGCAAGAATATTCTAACTGAAGTGGCACAGGTGTTTCTGGTCTTGCTAAGTGAAACAACCTGTTAATTTTTGTAATCTTTGTGTTGTGGGGGGGAAAAAAGCACTTGCTAGCTAGTGCAGCATATCAAATGCCAGGGCTGTCTTAATTTTCTCAAGAAGGAGCTTCCATCTGGAGTGGCAACTGCAGTTGAAATCATCTTCTAATTAAGTTTATGATAATCTGTCATGGTTCTTCTTTTCTTTTTTATTTTAATTTTTTGCCATCCTTTCCAAATCTATTAGTTTTTGCAGTGGCAAAACTAGTGAAAGCATTTGCTAAACATGTGATTCTCAAGTCTCTACTCTCTTTTGGGATGCCTTGCTGAAGAAATGAAGCTTTGCTTGTTTGTGACTAACCCCTCCTAAATCTGTTTAGCCACTGCTGAGACATTTGAAGTTTGGAGTCCACCAGTTGTTGAAAGACACATTCTAATAATAAACTCAATGACTGGAAAAATAACACCAATACAATTTCTAAGGTTTGTTTTTAGACATTTGATGTTGTTTGGTGCTATTAAAGATGGGATTGCTTTAAAAATCTTACTTTGCAATTGTCCTTTGCATGTATGTAGAAATTCAATTGCTTTTTCACTTGCTGATCTCTCATGCTGAGACCTTATTGCATTTGCTTAGTACAATAAATCCTCTCTTCCTCTGTCTTTCTCTTGTTTTGTTTTATGTCCTGATAGTTGCCTGAAAGCCCTGACAGTTTTACTTCTTTCCAGTTATTTTCTACCTTCTTTATCCTGCCTCATTGCATGGCCTAGGAAGGCCCTCCAGTGCATTGTTGAATAGAAGTAGTGACAGCAGGTACCCTTGTGTCATTCCTGAGCTCAGAGGTAAAAGCCAAGATCTGGGCCCTGGGTTCACTGCTGCCGGGGAAGTGGCATTCTCAAACCTCAGTGGAAAACCTTAAAATGTTTATATAACCATACACACACACATACATCTACACTGTGTCAACTGAGTACATTACATGTCTTAATTAGGTTTTTCAGTTGCTGTGATAAAATACCCTGACCAAATGCAGTTTGGGGAGGAGAAGGTTTAGTTCGTCTTTCAATGGGATGATGTAGTCCATCATCCAGAGAAATCAGGACATTAACTCAGGCCAGACGGTAGCCTGGACACAGTTTCTGGGCACAGGAACTGAGGCAGAGGCCACAGAGGAGTTCTACCACTTGGCGTGCAGACTGCTTTATCACAGCACTGGGGACCTCCAGCATATGTCTGTCTGAGCTGGGCCCTCCCACATCAGTGCTCAGTCAAGAAAATACACAGCAAGCTTGCTCACAGACAAGTCTGACTGGGGCCTTTTTCTCAATTGAAGATTCCTCCTCTCAAATGACTCCAGCTTATGTCAAGTTAACACTAAACAAGCCAGCACAGTGTCTATGCATTTTCTCTTTAATTCTTATTCATCGTAAGAGTTGTTTCTAGCTTTTTCCCTTTCTGTATTCTAACTCCTTTATCTCACATAAGAGACCTGGCTACATTTACTGGGAGTTTTGCCTTTTGATCATCAGGCTGTTCATAGTCTTTCTCCTCTGGCTTCATGCATCTGTTTGCTTTACTTGCCATTTACAGATGGCCCTCAACGTGAACTTCAGAGGACCCTCACTGCCCACCCTACAGATGATAGCGTCTTTCTGCAGTTCAGCACCATGGTCAGGACTCTTTCTCAGCTAGGCTGTCTTGTGTGCACCACTGTCCTGGACACCCTCCCCATAGTCTTCTAACATCTGTCAGTGCAGTGCACATGTAATCCTGCTCATGTGAATGCCTGTAGGAATTGAAATCTTGGACTCTTTCATTCCTGACATTAATAACTACATTACCAGTTTTCCTAACTAGTCTGTTCTAACAATTTATCAATTTCATTTCTGTTTTTAATGAATTATATCTTCATTTGCTAAATCTTTCTGATCTATGCATGTTTTTATGTGCCCACACATCCTAGAACATGCACTTAAACCTAGGGAATTCTTGACTCACTATATGCCAGTGGAAATATAGGTGTTATCTAATTTAATTCATTGGCAGATGAAGTACAAGAAAGGGGAGAGAGGAGAGTATTATTTAATGAGTTAAACTTTCTGTTGAGGCTGCATTTGCAGCTACATACAGAAAAGGAAGCTGTCATGTTTTACTTTGGTGTTTGATTTTGTTTTTTGTTTCTTGTTTTTGTTTTTTGAAACAGGGTTTCTCTGTGTAGCTTTTGAGCCTATCCTGGCACTCGCTCTGGAGACCAGGCTGGCCTCAAACTCACAGAGATTCTCCTGCCTCTGTCTCCTGAGTGATGGGATTAAAGGCGTGCACCACCAACACCTGGCTACTTTGGTGTTTAAATTTGTATTCCTTGGTCATCAAAGTTGGGGTAGATATTTCTGATACTCAGACTCGCCTGGGTGCTTTTTTGATTGTTTGGTTTTGGGGTTTTTGCTTTTTGCTTTTGCTTCTCCATCCTCAGATTTCATGCATGTCACTTGTCAGTCCCAAGTAGCTACTGACCCTCAAGCAGAAGGAGGGAAGAAGGAGGTGCCAAATGAGTGTCCCTGCTTTCATCAGAAAAACCAAAGCATGCCTGGCACCCAGGCTGGGACCCTCCATTTAAGCCCATTGGCAGGTGTAGCTGGGGCACTGCAAGGAGGACAGGGCTCCCTTGTGTGGACTGTGCCATGCACTTGTCTCAGTTTCTTGGCTACTAACATGGCTGCGGTTATTAATACATCCTCTCTAGCTTAGCTTCAACTTAATTGTTTTGATAACTTCTTAAAATTTGTACTAAACTCAGTAGGTAAGACACTTTATTTAAAATTAGGGCTTTTGATCAAGTATCTAAATTCATAATTAGGGCATTAATATTTTTGAATGAGGGCTTTTGTATTTTTTAATGAAGCCTTTAATTGTTATGTAGATTTTTAAGGAAGAGCTGTATTGAACTTAATATAAACCACCATAAAATAAAATCCATAGTATTTTATTTTAAACTACCTTTTTCAGAGTCCCTTTTGTAAAAGCGTTGTTTAACTTGAATACTCAACACTGAATTCTGGATCTATCTACATATTTGTAAGCTGAGCCAGTATATCTACAGTCTTATATAGTTTCATAGTTCTCCTTCCTCATTTATGTATATGATGACAGTGCATGTGTGCACCATAACATCTATACCATTATATTGTGGAGTGTCCAATAAGCATTATGTAGGAGATAGATCAGAATTAAAAGGGTTTAATTTCTTGGAAAGAAGATGAGACATGGCAATATTTTTAAAACAAAGATTATCAGATTATTTAAAATTTTATATTATATGTGAATCCCTTATCTCTCCTTCATCCCAGCCATTCATAGATATTAAAGAGTGAGACAGATTATTAAAAGGTAATTTAAGAGAGGGGGAAATGCAGCTTCCTGTCATTGCTGGAAGTGATACTTCCTGTGGTCCAGGAACAGCTGGGCATTCAGGTAGACTCAGAGACCCCAAGCAGGGACTGAGCATGGCTCATTTAGTTTGTAAAACCAACTGGAAAAAATGCTAAGCTGAATGCTGACTAAAATGTATCCCCATAACTGAGAAAGTAACAGAGCTCTTAAGTTTTACCCCTCGTGCTTTTATGGCCTTTCCAGGGGTTTCTGATCATAAGGGAATTGATGAAGTATATAGAGCACTGGGAATAAACAGACAGTTTTGATCAGATTTGTTAGTATGGTTCATAACAATCAATGATTTTTATTTTTCCTGATCTTACTGGGTGAGAGGAGAGTGGGGCATTGGGTGATTTAATTTCTGTGCCTGGGCTGAGGAAAAAGAAAACTCATTTAGGAATTGTAACAGTTGTGCTGTTGAGCGTTTGCTTTGCTTTCTGAAGTTATCTACAGTTACTGTGGACTGACACTGAGTAGAAACAGTGACCACACTCTTGTCCTTGTCAGGGAGCTGCATTCAGAGAATGAGGAGGACGCCGCCATTGGATGAGCTTCAGCCACCGCCTTACCAAGACGACAGCGGCTCTCCTCACCTCTCATGCACACCCTCCGAAATCGGGGACGGGAAGTGTGAGGTTTCCCGCTGCAGCAACAGCCCACAGTGTTCTTTCAACAAGTGCCCCAGTGAAGGAAGCACGGGGCATGAGGCAGAGAGCTTCCACAACAAAGGATATGAAGATGATGTCCCTAGTGACAGCACCGCAGTCCTCAGCCCGGAAGTAAGCAGAAGCATCCTGCAGCTGCCAGTGCGAGTCCTCTGGAGGTTGGGGGCCTTGTCCTTTCCCTCTGGGTGACAGTAGGTCTTTACAGTGTCACAGGCCCTGTATTCTCATACCAGTGCCAAGCCTTCATCTAACAAACTCACTGAGGCTGCTACAGCCTATATCCCACACCCTTCACATAACAAAGAGACAGGATAAGGATGGTTGTTGTTTCTTAAATACTTTACACAGAATGTTCTGGAATGATTTACATTTTTGCTCATGCTTCATGCTTTTTATTATCATTTTATTTTGGGTTTTTATTTGTTAATTAATTTTTGTTGTTTTATTTGTTAATATTTTATTCGCCTTTCAAATTTTTCAAAGGTTTTACAAGCCTTTCAAATTAACCTTACAAATGCAAGAACAAATGCTGGTTAGCTTTACTGGTAAAATTTCACAATTTTCTAAACTTAGTGTGGCTGGCTGCTTCTGTTGGTTACTGTTCTGGAATGAAAACAGCAACAAAATAATTGTTGTTTCAAAGCCTTTTTGTAATCCAAAAAGAATTTGTCTCATTCATTCTTAGGATGAAGACTAGGTAACCCAGGCCTTACATGCAGCAATTTTCTGCATGTAGGATTTGCTTTCTTTTACAAGTTTTACATTACATTGCAAGCTTCTACAGCTTCCACCCCTGCCAGCGTTAACACTCTGACATGGTCGGTGCTGATAGTTTTGTATCTGCTGTCTAAATAATGAAGGTAGTTTTCTAATACACAGTATGATTAAGCTGTAGACAGAATTTCTTTGGTTTGGGGTTTTTCTCCTATAACTAAAAAGCACTGTAACTACTTTTCTGGTAGTTTTAGTATTGTCATACAGTGTCTGACCTAGAAGAAAATGTTGATTGATACTTTAGGCATAATGTGTCATACCATCAATTTCCTTGTGTGCTAGCTATCACCTAAACATATTCGAGAACTTTGTGTTTTGCAAACTGTATAAGGAGCCACCAATTTAACAGTGGCTCTGGATTATAACAGTGACCACAATAGTATATGACACCTAGCCAGCTTATTCATTGTTCACAGTCACTTCTTCAGGAAGTAAAAAATGCTAGTGTCAAAGAGAAACAGGCAGCTGTGTTCCAGCCTAGGTCCCTATGAGTGCAGAAACGGAGTTAGTGACAGACACCTTACTCTGTACATTTTTGTCATGCTGAGTTGTTGCTGGAGGATTTCTTTGTTGCAGTTGTGCCATTGTTGGGACACACTCAAGGCAAACTGTCCCAGAGGCCTTAATCACCAAAGTAAAATGTTCAAATGACAACCAGATGCCTAAGTGTGTGTGTCTGTGCATGTGTGTATTTTATTCTACTTCAGATGCAAAGCAGAAGAGAAATTAAGCAAATTAAGGTAAGGTAGGCTAACATACTTGGCATAGGATGTCAGAGCAGATAGGTGGCAAGCCCACACTGGCCGCTTGTCCAGGCCTGTGCATTTTTCTCCCTGTCTACTCATCAGTCTGATAAGGGGCACCCACAGCTGGCAGTAAATTTTTGTTTATGGGAGAGAGAAAGAGGAAAATATACCTGTCCACTGGAACTTGCCAATTAGAGAAACTTGCTACCTCAGAAACAGGATTTTTTTTCCTTATATTTCATAGTAGAACCTATGAGTGACAAAACCCTTGGCTTGTGGTCAGCATGACAAGGCATGAGCTTTTCATCTCTCTCTGAGCCTAGTGTGTACTTGTCCCATCACATATTCTTTGTAGTCCATGGATCTTTGACATATCTTGTAGGTTGCTACCTGAGGACTGTGCCTGTGTCTCAAGCTGATTGCTTATCTGTAGGTAACCACACTGTGTGTATTTCAGAAGCTATGTATTGCTTATTAACACTATGCAGTATCAGGGGCTCCTGTCCTATTGTTTTCTGCTTAAAGAAGAGCCTTCTACCTACCCCAAGCTAACAGAGGGCTTAGAACACAGTGCTAAGTTGACTGAAAAACTCTCTTTCGCTCAACTGAATAAACCAGGCTATGCATAATGCCCCCCTCCCCGATTCAGGGCCAACTTCTCTGTGAATCTTCCACTGCCTAGAGCCCTGCCCTTGTTTTTTTGGTTCAAACTGATCCCACACACTGCCTGTGTGCCTGCTTGTGGAACAAGAATGGAGAGCAAGCACTTCCATTATAAAACTGAGATAGAGGTTTCTCAAAGGAGCTCTGTGTGCCTCCATCTGCCCAAGCTGTACCATAAACACATCCAAGAGAGCCTCTGGGTGCTTCTGGGTTGGGTGTCATTTGAGCTAATAGGAGAAGGAAGACCAAGGTCACCACGGTTCAGTGCCACAGTAGCTCTGAATCCAAGGTAGTTTGTATCTTATTCAATACTTGAAGGGTCACAGCGTGTGGCTCAAAGGTCAGAGACCTGGTTTAGGTAACTAGATAAGATCCCCAGACATCTCAGGTAGTTAGACTAGCTGGAATCTGAGACAGTTGCTGGTAAAATGGTCTCAGTTTCTGACCTTGTCATAAGTAAAGTGCAGTTTTAGCCTGTCTTCATTTTGAAATGTGTATTTCACCGTGTCATTGACAATTAATGTGGAGAAAAATACAGTTGTTTTGAGTTCTGATTGAAAATTTAGCTAAACATGGTCTATGATATGGAGAGTAACTATTTGGATGCACAATGTCTTGAACCCTTTGCATTTCTATTCAGGTTTCCCATATTCTATTTTAGATGGAGTCATCTTAGACATCCCTGAAAATGGAGCCACATTTCTCTGTAGCATTTAACTTGGCTCTTCTCTGTAGACTTCTCCATCAGTTAATATGCACATTAAACTGTAGCTTACATAAATATACACCAATTTTCTCAAAACCCTGATAGTGAATATTGTACTCAAAAGATGTCTTCATTGTCAAGCACTTAAATTATGCTGCCCTATAAACTAACTTTGGCCTGTAGTTGACTGATACTTCAGTTTTCTCCATGACAGCAAATGAAAATTGTTTTTATATCACACTCTAAAAGAAATTGGCGTTTATTTACATGCTAGATTAAGTAATGGGGTTAAAAACTAAAAACATTTAAATTTGCTTTTCTTAGGACATGTCAGCTCCAGGATCCTCCTCACAGCTTCCTAAACCTTTTGACCCAGAGCCAGAAGCTAAGTATGGCACCCTGGATGTGACTTTTGACTATGACTCACAAAGACAGAAGCTTCTGGTAACGGTGACAGCGGTCACAGACATCCCAACACATAACAGGACAGGTGGCAACTCATGGCAGGTGCACCTTGTCCTTCTCCCTATAAAGAAACAGAGAGCCAAAACCAGCATCCAGAGAGGACCATGCCCTGTCTTCACAGAAACATTCAGATTTAACCACGTTGAATCGGAGATGATCGGAAACTATGCAGTTAGGTTTAGACTGTATGGTGTCCATCGTATGAAGAAAGAAAAGATTGTGGGGGAAAAGATTTTTTATTTAACAAAGTTGAATCTTCAAGGGAAAATGTCGTTACCGGTGATACTGGAACCTTCTTACAATCCTTCTGTGAGTATCTCTTCGAATGCCCTAGCCAGAGTTTCTGTTCATGGCACAGAAGAAGTCTATAACCAACGCCACTGCTTCCACACTGTGTCATTTGCATAGCACCCAGACACATCTATCTAAGCCTTTCTGTTTTGTGTCGATCATGATTTATTTCATGTGCTTTGTTCTCTCCTTCTGAGCTCTCAAGCAAGTCTTTGTGTTCATTCCTGTTAACCACACTAAATGGTTGATTGTTGGTTACCCTTCTCCTTCCAGGTTAAACTAGATGGCACAAGAGGAGCTGTCTAACCCATCTTCCACAGAGTGTATATTGCTGCCCAAGACAGAATTATTTTTCTAGAACCACCACAAATTATTTTAAAAGTAAAAAACAAGTCCTTGTTTCATTTTACATCCTTTTTGAGAAAAGACTGAAAAGTATTTCTCAGTGAAAAATTATAAATGCAAGCTTTTTAATTTTTTTCAGATTATAATCACACACACACACACACTATATATATATATATATATATATATATATATATATATATTTTAACAAAATTCCCATGAAGCATTGCAGATTACAGGAGAGTAATGCCTGCATTGTTTATTTAAACCAGGGAGATGCATTATGTCACATAGTTATTTCAGTATGAGAAAATCTGTGACTTGGGTAAGTGTAAATTATGACTTATATTTATTCCTTTCTGTGTTATATTGGAAAAGAAACATTTTGTAATATAAATATACAGACTTTAGAATAGATTTAAATTTTAAGTTAGAGGTCTGATGTTCCATGGTTGTTTCTAAGCTGTGACCATATAAGCCTAAAGCCCAGCCTCCGGCCATTGCATCATACCAGGCAGTATCTGAACCGAACCTGCCAGCTTCCGTTCACCTGAAGTAGCAGACAGGCTACTTAAACCAGGCTCTTGCAGGATCTTTATAAGGAAAAATGATGGTAGGTATAACATGTCTTGTGGATTTCAGTTTTATTGATACAATTAACACCTCATTTAAAATTTTTAGATTAAGTAATTTTGGGGAAATGCCTCTTAAAAAGTTTTCTTGTTCTTGAGAATTTCATACATGTGCACAGTAAAATATGATCATATTTTCCCAAATTCCTCCCATGTTTCCCTCAACATATCCCCATCCCAACTACATATCTTTTTTTGAATAACCCACTAAGTCCAGTTAGTGCTGCCCATATGCATAGATGTGGGGCCATCTACTGGAGCATGGGACTCCTACCAATAGCCACATCCTCAGAAAAAGACTGATTCTCCCTCTCCCTCCCAGCTGCCAATAGCTCCTCAGTAAGGGGTACAGCCTTGAGATCCATGATCTACCCCATCTGTGATAGGATCTTGGCTCACTTGATCCTGTACAGATAATGACGGCTCCTGTGAATTTATGGGTGGTGATAGTCACATCATGTCCAGAAAACACTTCACAGCACTCTTCCCCATCCTCTGGCTCTTACACTACTCTGCCTTCTCTTCAGTGGTGCTACCTGAGCCTGGGAAGGGGCCGACACTGACATGGGTCTTCCACTTAGAGCTGAGTGAGCACTCAGTCTTATTCTCAGAACTTTGACCAATTGTGCTCCTCCCCTTGCAAAAAGAAGCTTCCTTTGCCAAGGTTGAGAGTAGCCCAGGGCCTTTGTCCTCCCCAGATGGCTGTGGGGTTTTGTCCAGGATTATGAAGCCAAGTATAACATTCTCTCTGGGGGAGCAGGCCTCAAATCCAACCAGAAAGTGGATTATTTACCCCATGCTTTGGTCAGCATTATTGTGAAGACAAACCGTGATCAAGGCTTATACCTTTCCACCCCCAGGGTTCTGCCTCTCTACGTCCATATCACCTTAAATCTACTATTCCCCTCTCTAAAAGCACCCCAGAGGCCCCTTTCTAGTTTCCTGCTTCCTCTTGTGCTCTAAGTTAAACACACAAAACAAAAGGTGTGAAGCTGAATCCACATTTGAGAGAGAACACAGTGTCTGCCTTTCTTGGCATGGGTGCCCTCCATTTGCATCCATTTACCTGCATATTTAATGATTTCATTTTCCTTTACAGTAGAGTTGTACTGCACTGTGTAAATGCCTTTTCAAATGGGTGTGCTTTGTAGGAAGAAAAGAGAAGGAACATAGCATGTTTTGGGGGCACACATTTTTATAAGCATGAGATATCCTGCTATTAATCTAGTTTTTAAAATTTTTCACTATCTAGTATGGATGAGTAGTAGTTTTCTGTGGATAATAGGCTTTTATACATTAATGAGTGAGTTAAGTTAGAAGAGAAAAACTGGCATCAAAAGCTATGTGTTTGTAGTGCTTTGATGACTTCATCTGTTCCCAGTTCTATATTGATTGTATTCTTTTTCCATAGACAATAGAACATTTTTATATCTACTCAAACTAAAAGGCTCCTACGTTGCATACATTACTCTGTAGTCATGGATTCTGTAATACTTTTGGCCAGGCAGGACAGTGAGTTCTAGGGGCTACTTCCAAGAAGATAAAAGTGCTAGGTAAGTCGCTCCTAAACCTACTATTTACATCTACAGAAAGGTGTCTGTCTTCTGCTCTTAGAAATTTCCCCTAGGTGCCAGTGTGCCTGTCATATTTAGTAGCTGCATTTCATTGCTCTTTAGTCTTGCTTTGCCCTTCCTACTCTCTCAAAATCTTAGAATTCATCGCACTGCAGTTTTTAGGCCACTATTATACTGAACTATACTATATATATTATACTGAACTATACTAACACTATTATACTGAATATAAACATATAATATAATAGAACTCATGCATTTTCTGTATGTGCTATAGTGCTGATGCCTTCTTTGCTTAACTTTTAACATAAGCTGAATGGAAAATTCTTGTTATTATAGTTTACTTGATAGAGCTTCTCTTTGATTTTGTAAGGCATCTTTAGGAGTTACATTTGTGGGGGGGGAAGATTACTTCCATATTTAGTCATTCATTCTGGTAGCTTTCTAGTGATTATTATTGTTATTATTGCAAGAATATTAACCTTTCTCCAAGGAAATCTCAATCCAGCACCCAATTTTACAAAACACTTTAAAATATGTTTAAAGTTTGAAGTTTATTTCATATATAATGATATACTATTCACGTATAGTATTTAGTTTCATAGATAGTCTTGAGTCAGGACACATAAAATGACTTTTTAAGAACTCTGTGATGGCTTTTGCTACCGGAAAGATTAAAACAGCATTGAAATGTGGCTGTAGCTTGAGAGTGCCTCCTTGACCAGTGCACATAGAAAAATGTGTTGAAAGTTGAAAGATGTGATTTCCATTTCAACCAGCTATGTAAGCTTTCTAAAGTATTTTGAGTATCAAGTTTCTGATGACTGAAATGAAAGGGTTTAGACCAGTGACCTTTGGGCTGTGTTTGTCTCTGATATTCTGATTCTACTAACATCATGAAAGAAGTTAGGTAAGAACAGAAATGGGATAAACTTCATTTGTGTATTCAATTGTGTGTATTCATATGTGAGTGAGTAGGTGAGTGCTACAGTGCAAGCTACAGTGCATGCGTGGTAGTCAGAGGACAGTTTCCAGGATTTGGTTCTCTCCTTTCACCATGTGGGACCTGGAATTCAAACTCAGGCCATCAGCCTTGGTAGCAAGGTCTTTTATCCACTGAATCAGAAATGGGATAGTGTTTACACTATTGTTTTTCTGCAGTGGGCATGTACCATTTTCTAGTGCTTCCATACCTTTTCAACTTTCTAAAACCTGAGGAAGTCCACCTCCACCTCCTTTAGACACTCTGTAATACTCATTTCCCAGGCTTATTTGTGCTGAGAGCAAGGCATTGAGATCTAGATTTACATTTGACGTTTGTTTTGCAATACAACACGAGCCAGAGAAGTACTGGATATAGCCCTGTGACAACGGGAATCTCATTTTTAAGGTTAGAAGTAAAGGAAACAATTTTGCAGATGTTCATTCTATCTTCTCCATGTAGTAGACATCATAGGAACTTGAAATAACCTGGGAAAATGCCTGTTGGAAAGTTATATTTAACTCTATTCCAGGTAAAGAATAACTGTGTCCATAAGAATAATGTAAATAATAAATTAGTCTTTACATTTCCTGTTTGTTTCAAGAATTAAATTTCTGTCACTAGACATGCACATGTTCTTGAAGTCCTCCCATGTCTTTATTCCATACTTGATCTATTAAGGAAAATGCACATTCACAGGTGTTAGGTCTTCATGTTCCTCCAGTGGAAAGGCTAGTCACCTTTACCTCCTTGTTAGCAATCACGGTGGGAGTGCCACCCATTCTGAACACTTTGCAAGGTTGTAATGGTGCTGAATGTGGCAAACAATGAGTGTGGAAGCTTTGTAGTTACTGTAAATAGGATTTTCTGTCCTGTGATTAAACAACATCCCTACTCAGTTTGAATAATTCTAACTTTTTTTTGCAGATTTATTATACCTAGTGTTTCTGGTGTTGCTAAGCATTGCAAATGTAATGATTATATTTTCTTTATTAGGCCCAGAATTTGGATTTATTTTATTATATAATTACCTGATATCATATAATCAAATATATAAATTTGTTTAGAAAAACTATATCTTCATATTTCTATGGTTTGTTTACTTCACTTTAAAGGATCAGTGTTACCTGTAGGTTAGTGTTCCGTGTCACTTGCTCATCAAGAGTTTTTGAGTAGCTTTAGGCATTCTTTTTTAATATAATTTATTTTATTTTATGTACATTGGTGTTTTGCCTGCATTTATATTTGTGTGAAGGTGTTGGATCCCCTGGAAGAGAAGGTACAGACAGTTATGAGCTGTCATTGTGGGTGCTGGGAATTGAACCTGGGTCCTCTTGAACAGAAGCCAGTGCTCCTAACTGCTGAGCCATCTCTCCAGCCCCAGCTTTAGGCTTTCTGTTTGTCTGTTTTGTTGTTGTTGTTTTGAGACAGGGTTTCTCTGTGTAGCCCTAGCTGTCCTAGAACTAGCTCTTATAGACAAGACTG